GTTACCGTTGCTCCCACAGTAAGACAGATAGTACAGAGAAAGAAAGAACATCCATGCCTTGCCCGGGTTTCGAACGCAGAACCTTTCAGATGCAAGGGCAGTTCCCTAACCCCTACACAGGCCGGTCGGCTTTATTAAGCAATATTAATTTATTGTAAAAATATTATTTTATCAAAAATAATATTATATTTATTCATGGGAAAATATACTATACACGTTAAGATTTTGAGTTGCATTGAATCCACTATTGTTTCTACGAAAAAAAAAATTCAAATTACAAGCAGAAAAGTTACCACAGGTAAAAATAACAACTCTTAAAAAAATTTGATACTAATGTTAGTGTCTTTTCAAACGTGAAAACAAATATTAATCTAACGCAATTTGCTAACGAAAACACATTTTCGAATTCAAATTTTTATGAAGAAAGCATAATATATTATGAATGGTGATTTCTCTCTTGAAATAAACATACTGACATAACTTCATTTAGAGCTAATGTTGTTGACTTATGAAGTCATGAATTTGAAATATACTACCTGATGAGATATAGGTCTAATTAGTTTAAATACTCTCTGCGGATGAGCATACCTCATACAATTATAGGTCACAGAAGCCTTGAGCATATAATATTTATTTCTGCTATTTTTTTTTATACATGTCATATTAGTGAAACAAAACGAAATATTTCAAAATGCAAAAAAAACATTTTGGCTAATTATTACTATATACTCCTTAGATAAATTAGTGTCTCAAGCTCGAAAAATAAAGTATTAACTCTATTTATCTAATTTATTATTATTATCAGTTTTGTGATATGCCATTTAAATTGTTGACAATGAATTACAATTTTTTTAAACACACCACTTCTGTTTAATTTGTAGAAAATTTATTTCATTTTTCGTCCTTAAATCAAAAGTGATATCTAATTCCCCACTATATAAATAAATATCAGCACTTTATAAGTTGATTGCTTGAAAAACTACATAATTTTTCAACTTATAGAAACTGAAATTTAAAATTAAAACTCATGTCTTTGTTTATACCTACATGGTCAGAAAATAAAAACTGATGCAACTCTTTCAAGAGTAAAATATATTTTTTGTAAAAATGTAATTGATGTTGAAATTGCTTTTACCTAAAAATAAACTAATTAACAGTTTCATCATAATATATCTGTAATTCAACAGCATTACTTTGAAATTTGGGTCTTAAAATTTGCGTAAATTTAACATTTGACGTTTGTTATATTAAGGAAGAGACTGTGAAATATTTTTTTCTAAATTTTTACGTTAAAAAAAACGTTATAAATATTCAATTGTAGTATCCATTAGCATCTATATATTTAAGAAATTAACCAAGAAAGTAAATGTTCCTACATTCACACATTAAATAATTTATCTTCTCCCACCACAGAAGAAAGACTACAAGCGAATGCGTTTATTTTAGGAAGAAAGAAATCTGCTCATTATTGCACCCCGCAATCTTCAGCATTCACAGTAAATGTGTTTGGTTGCTGTAAATGTCACTGAAGCAGCATTTTTTTTACAACTCAGGTGTACCAAAATAAGCCGAAAGATTTTTCTGTTCTCCATAAAAACTAAATGCATTTTACTACAATACTTTATTACAAACGTTTGTGAAATGGTTTTAAAAATTTTGATGTTTATTACTGTATTAGTCTTAAATTAAAATATAAATTAAGACATTTTATTAGTTTTAAATTAAAATATAAATTAAAACAATTTATTAGTTTTAAATTAAAATATAAATGAAGAAATTTTATTCGTTTTAAATCAAAATATAAATTAAGAAACTAATTAGTCTTAAATTAAAATATTACAAAATTGGAAAGAAAAACTTCTGAAAATTACTTTACGCATTTTCACTCAGACGCGTAGCCAAGATAGGCAAATAGCTTTTTAAACGGTTTGTGCTCAACTTTTTTATTAGGAAAATAGTTAAAGTTTTTTTTAATAAAATGTCAACTAAATTAATAGCATTTAATTCAAACTAATTTTCGCCTCAGTTAAGAAGTTAAGGTCAAATTTGGTTTGATAATTTTTAAACTGAATGCATTATTTTAAACTGTTACTTTATTTATTTCATAATCAAATTAAAGGTCTTCTGTGTGTCGTTTAAAACAATTTTAAATTTACGAAATTTAAAAAATATTGTTTCATATTTCTGTTTTCTTGGCTTATTCCTGTTTTCTCGCAAACTAGAACAAAAGTTTTATTTATTAAATATTTAGTGTAGTTACCTTTTATAATAAATGTTAAATTTGCTTCTTAATTATTTTATTTTAAATAGTGTGTTATATTAAATACGAGAAAATTGTTATTAACCAAATTACCGTCTTTAGTTTTGAGAATTGAGCTAAGTTCCGATATGTTTATGCAGATGTAACTTTCTTAATAGAAAACATCTTAAGCATCAATATATATTTTAAGTAAAAGAAAAATATATGTACTATATGTATACTAATATGTATGTCAAACTTCGACAATCTCTTTTATAGAAAAAGCTTCTTTGGTTATACTAGGCAAAAATAAAATAAATAAATTAGTAAATTATATTTAGAGTAATTAAAAAATTTTATACCACTCTGATTCAAGAAATTTGGTGCAGGAATGTGTCTCTTTAGTTTAATAAAACAAAATATTATAAAAACAAACTTCATAGTTAACTATTATTTCTCTTAGAAAATTCAAAATGTGCTGTATAGTTTGGAAACTCTTTGTAAATTAATTTGTCTTAATATCAAACGACTCTTTCTTTAATTTCTAGGATTGATTATTCGAAAGAGATCATTAGCATAACGTTTATAAAACCATTAATTAATATCCGATTTCCTTTACATAATTTTCTTCTTAATCTTTAATTTACTGCAAGAAATATAAAGTGGGTGTAAGGGTACAGCGCTTCGAAAAATAAACAGAAATAAATATAATTTGAAACTTGATATGATGCTTTTAAAAGCATTTTAATAAACTATATCAATAAATGATGCTCTTAGATGAAATTGTGAAATTACAGAAATAAGAATATCAGTTTAAAAAGGTTAAATCATATGAAACTAATTGTTTTGGGATTGGGTATATACAACAATGACTTTTTAAAGTATAATTTTGTCTCTTGTTAATTATCTTATTGATTCTTCTATTGTAATTTGAAGATTGAACTATATTGCTGGTGAATTTCTTTCTAAGACTAACTTTTCAAGTATTTTAAATCAACTTTTAAAAAGTCGAAACTCGCAAGAGAAGAAAATTTTTCAATTTCGATATTATGCTATTCACTGTTTGAAATTTCTCCAGAAAAATGATTGAATAAGAATTTACTTAACTGTTATTTTGCCATTTCTAAACAAAACAGTCAAATAACCCTAAATAAAACGGTATTGTGAAAAACCGTTTATTAAATATTTTCACCTAATACGGTTCAGCAACCAGAATTTTCTCTCAACAACTAGGTCCACCTAATGAAGCCATTTAGTGCCTTGCAGCTCGGAACATAATATAGTGAGATGAATAATGTGTCAATTTTATGAAAGATAGAATGGGTGTTCGATTACCACCGTTGACACCACAATTTTTCCTTTATTCCCTTCAATACATGAAGAGTTTCCAGTTGCATGCACTCTCTAACTTGTGAGCCTGAAGAATGCGATGCCCACATTCGCGCGTAGATGGCAGCACAATAAAGCTGATTAATAAAAAGAGTCTGGTATTTCCCATCTCTCACGATGGGTGAAAGAAAGAATACACTAATTAAATCACGTTTAACGATTCATTAGGTAAAACACAACTCAACCACAACCCACCAGTTCTCATTACTTAACGGAAATCCTAGCTTCAGCGTCCAGATAAATTTCTATTTTATGCTTTTGAAGCAATGCAAATTGGAAATGGTTCAAAATCCGTATAGTTTTCGTTGTTTTTGTTGTCATCGTTGTTTTTTTTTTTAAGCTTACTATTGTAAATGGTTTCAAAACAGCTAAGATAAAAAAAAAAAAATGTTCCTCGCCGTAAACTTTACGATTAATAGGATGGATAAACTGTAGCCTGGTATTTTACGGTGATTTTAGAATGAAAATTCCTATAAGGTCTCCTAAGAAAAGTGAGTTTTAAAAGATTGGATTAACTCTCTCGTTTGAAGGATATTTTACAAATACTTCGACAGTAAATTAAATAACTGATCAAATGCAATTTTTTTTTATCTAAACTACTGCACTTTTAGATTCTGACTAATTTGTAGAAAATTTAAATACCTTTTTTTATTTTATGAATCATTTAAGTGATTATTTATATCGATCTTGAAATTAAGAAAGATATTATTTTTATTAGTTTAACAATTATAATGTTATTTTTAAATTACATGTTTTCGATGTAAACTCTTGGGTAAACAGTGTATATTATTTGCTTTTGCCGCTCAAACAAAACACGGAATCAAAAATTTGTAGTACTTCAATTTTTACATTAATATTTACTGTAAAATTACTGAAACCCTGATATTATATTAATATTACTCTAAAAATTACGGTATAAAATTTATTGGTGAGATGGACTTCACGAAATAATGGATTTTATACATGTTACATCCACATAGTGACAATAATTCTTATCCCAATTTGATTCTCATTTTTTTACAGTGTAAGTGATATTTATTTAATATGAATAATTTAAGTCAGTTTTGACAGAAAAGTTACAATTATAAACTTATCTATTTTAAAACAATAAATCAAGTTTCTATTGAAGATAAATTAAATACCCTTCCAGAAAAATTTAATTAAACTAAGTAGTTGAAAATGTAAACTCACTAATTTTCTTATTGTTGTTTTGTTTATTGTTGAAAAGTTAATACAAAAAACATATATTTTATTTTTTACTAAACTTGTGAATTTCAATTTCCTAAAAATAATGTAATTTTTTTATTTTCCTGTATTTTACGGCCACAAATATGAGATATATTAATATGAAAGTAAGTGAAGCAAAAACAAATTTACGTATATTTCTTTTAATAATTATTTTAAAATTAATTTACACTTTTTCAGAGAACAATTTACAATCACAAGAAGCTTTTTTGAAGAAATATCTCCCAATCAGAAAGATGGATTCAATAAAGTCTGTCATTTGCACCAACGAAATGCCAAGCCAGATGCCGATAAAACCTCCAATATAGCTGAATGCCTCGACATCCTAGATGGATAAAATATTTTACATATTAGCACACTCAAATTTTTTCTAATTGCTAGAAAAATTGGTTCGTGCGCTGTTAGAAATTTCTGGTTAAATAACAATTTATTTAATCGGTATTTTACCATATTCAACCAAAACAGTCAAATACCCATAAATAAGATGCTATTCAAACTGTTAACAGTAAAAAAAGCGGTTTATTAACTTCTCTCACTTTACGGTTAAGCAACCGGAATTAAATCGTACCAGCTGGGACCACCTGATGAAGCCAGTTAGTTCCTTGTAGCTGGGTACATACTATAGCCGAAATGGCTAATATTATTTCCATTCCCTTCAACACGCGAAGGATTTCAAGAGTTCTGTACTACCCAATTTGTGTCTTTGGACAATTAGAATACGTTACTCTCAGTCACGCATAGATGGCAGCACCATAAATCTGTCTAACACAAAAAAGTCCAGTATTTCTCATCTCTAATGATAGACTCGATAAATTACGTATACGACTATTCGATAAAGCACAACACGACCATAACATAACTCCAATGCTCATTACCTGACGAAAAACCTAGCTGCAATGTTCCGTTAAATTTCTTTCTTTATTATGGTTTTAAAACCATGCTTGTTTTTAAATGGTTAAAAACTATATAGTTTTGTATTCATAGTTTTTTTTTACCATACTAGCTGTGAATGGTTTAAAAACTGTAAAGATTTAAAAAAAAAACATTCTTTACCGTAAAGGTTACTGTTAAATGGATAGACAGCCTGTTTATGGTTATTTTACAGTAATTTTAGAATGAAAATTTTGGCAGTTCGGGCTGGAGAGAATGTTCTGCAAAATTCAGAGAAAAAGGAAAACACATTTGTATCATTATTTGTGTAATGTTGAAAAGGTGAGAATTGCAATGTTGAAAAATGCTGATGCAGAAAAAGGACAGTTCTTGAGTTAAGGAATTAAAAATCATGGTAATTATGTTTGTTGAAGTATTTAGAGGAAGGCAGTATAAGTAAACTATTTATCCTGAAGATGATGATTAACATTATCTGATGAAGAACTAGTTGTTCATGGAAAAAAGTGCTTGAAGAAAATTGTTAAGGAATCCTTGTAGAAAATCATTATTATCCATTTGTTCAATTACTCGATTCTCCAGGGTAATGAAGATAAACTACATTAGTTAAGAAAAAAATATGATTCGGGTAAGTTGGGAATTGGACCATGTCTAAGAGGTCGTGAGTTTGATCCCAGCCACCCTAAGACTCCCCTTGTGGTAAATGTTGATTGGCGTATGTTAAATCTGTCTGGCAACAGAGTCCCCTAAGGAAACCCCCTACAAATCTATACCTATGAGGGTACTGAATTGGAGATTGATTTTTCTTTGGTCCAGGTCAAAATAACGATCTGTGGATGTCTGAATGAGTTCACTCCTTATAACGGGCTGTGACGTGTGTGTTTGACTGAAGTCGTGTTCATGGCTATAGATGGCCCCGCTAAAAAACAAGAGACGCACTCTCTGCCTTAAGTTCGCTTGAGTACGTAATTAATTACTTTTTCTTTATTCGTTAAAAAAATTTTATCGATCGAATTTTATCGATGAAAAAAAATTGAGAAATGAATAAAGTCAAATTTTAAATTTAATGAAGTATGAGATCTCCAGATTATTGAAAAGGTTTCAAATCGCTCCCGTTCTAAACTAGACAAATATTTGATAATAAATAACTTTTAGTTACAAGCTAATGGGAATTTTTTAATATTTTTAACTAGCAATTATTTTTTTAAACCTTTAAAGGTTAAAGTAATTGTTTTAATGAAAATAAAGTAGAAGTATGAATTATGCAGGACTGGGCAATCGACTAACGTTTTTTTTTTGTTAATTTTTTTTTTTACTTTTCTTACCTGATATTTCGCACTGTATTCATAGCGCAAAATTTCACGATCATCCACTTCCACGTCTACGATTATTTGACGGCTAAAAAGTAAATCAATGGTTTAAATCATTTTCAATTTTAAAATGATCCTATTAATTAAAACAATGCAATACTCACGAAAGTCCATCTGAAAAGTTTTCAGTGTGTTGAAAAAGCTAAAAATAAATAAATGGCGATAAAAAGATACGCATATTTTTATTAATTTCTTACATTTAATAATGGTATTCTATAAATTTCAAAGCATACAGCTTTTAAATATATAATCACAACTTCTTATTTCAATTAACAAGACTGAACTATTAAAATGACTGCGTCAATTGGTTAAAGTGTAATCAATAATGATTAGGATTGCGAGTTTGTAATGGTAAAGAAGGACCAAAATTCGCAAAAAAATTCACGATACGAAATGTCGAAAAAAAAATAGTTAAAAAAATAAACAATCTGCACTTAAGGATATAGATATGGTTTAGAAAATATAAAAACATAAAAAAAGAGATCACAAAATTATTCGCTTTAATTTGATCCAATATTAATATTTTTTAGTGGTAGAGCTGATTTGGTACAAAATATTGTGCATTGTTAAAAGGTTTACGTTTATCAATTAACACATTAGAAATATTTCACTAGGTGTAACATTTTCCCCTAACTTTAACGGCAAAACTATGCAAAATTTTTCTATTTCTATAATTCTTAAACAATCTTTCAGGGCAAACGCTTTTTGTAGACACTGTAAAAAAATGAATTTATTTCCAGATGTCCAACATCACTATTCCTTATGCACCATCGCTAACATAAGAAAAAGAATGAGACAAATTCACAGAACATAATCATAAAGTTGGCTTCAGGTTCAAGCAAAGTGTTAGATTGAAAACCCATTCCGTGGAGGTTCTTTAAATTCCAAAAAAGTGTAAAGTAAAAAAAAAAAAAATCTAGTTTTATTTTTACCCTAACTAATAAATATCCCTAGCAACGAAATAACTTGGATTCTCATTGGGAAAATATTCATGAATTTTGTCTCAATAATTGTTCAAAGGGCCATTATTTTCTAATATTGACCATATATAGAATTTTCCTCTTCAGCCGATATTTTATTCAGCCGATATATGTATATGCTGTTGTTGTTGCTAATCTCGGAATCGTCTAGCAGCGCTAGACGACTCCCATGAATCCGAACATCTCCAAAAAGTCCATAAAAAGACTGGAGTCTCGCAGGACCTCATCTTTACCGAACCCCAAACAAGTCAGAATATGAGCGAGGGATGCCATGTCTGTCGAGCATCAATGACATTCAGGATAAGTTGTTTGGCCCCGGTTGAAAGTAAGGGATCTAGTGTGGCCACTCAAGAAGCGTGAAAAGGCAGTTTGATGGGCTCTCGGTCTAAGATTGAAAGATTCTCCCCGTTTTTTTTTTTTTTTTGCAAAATGCCAAGAGTGGTTGGGAGGAGTTCTTATGGTCTTGTTAAATTTCATTCTTGCCAGGGAAGAAATTTCACTAAAGGTAAGCTTCTTACAATGATCAGTGTCTTATTCGGCAGCGGATTTGGCCAGGAAGTTAGCCCTCTCATTCCCATGCATCAACCCCAACATGTGAGGGAATCCACTGAAAGTGTATGGAATGGGATATATGTATATAAATCTAGACATTCCGATATTGATCACTCGTTGCATGTTCTTATACGACCCATATTGAGCCAATTTTGATCCCAACTGGGGCCAAGGTAAAATTGTTTCCAGGGATATGAGGGGAAGTTAAACGTCTATACAGATAGAATAACAGTATTGTCTACCGAATCAAAAATTAATTTCCTGGCAAGTTTTCATCTTTCATTGCGATAGCTTTAAAAAATGCGAATATTAATCGAACGGTTGAACTAATACTGCGAGTGACCGTATAATAATCTCAAACAAAGTCAAATCAGAACTCAAAGAACTTATCAAAAACAAGATTTGGGTTAGTTCATAAAGATTTTTACATTGTATAGATCCACTGAATGATCAAGAACATCTTCAAATGAAGAGGTAGAGGAAGTAGGTAGAATTAATATATTAAATAAATCAAAACTTGTTACCTCATCATATGGAATTTTCCGGGATCGAACATCAATGGTGTAAATAATTTTTCTGAAAATATATATTACATTAATAACAAAACTCAAAAAATAATAAAACAAAATAAGGACGTCTTAACTAAAATTTCGTTTTCAACTTTTAACTTAACTTTTAAATTTTATCAAAAATAAAAAAAATAGCTAAAGTGATTAGCTAATTTAAACTTTTAATGTCAGCATGAATATACAAGGACAGACGAGATAAGTTTGATGATATGATTTATATATAGAGATTAAATGGGAAAACGATTACGTAGATTTTTTACAAGAATGGCGATTGGATCGCCATCTTGTGCATTTTGAGGACTACAAAGTTTCCTCAGATTAACAACGTGTTAACCCCTTAACGATGGTTAATTTTCAAGAAAACGGTCATAAAAGTGCCTATTTTTTTGCTTTTGTATTTGTATTACGTATTTGATAAGTGCTGACATCTAGCTTAAAATAAACTATCTACAATTACCTTAAAAATATCCTGGTACTGCCATCTGGTGCGTAAAATGAGAGTTTAAATATTTTCCGGGTGAAAGAAATGAATTAATTTTAGTCTTATTGGCGCCTTACTACTGAACACTACAGCCCGCCAATATCACGGGAGCGATAAATAGAGGGCGAAACCTCCCCCCCCCCTTTATTTTCACTATAGCGAGAAGGAAGGGGTTAAACTGGTTTTCCTAGATAGTTGTTGCACACTACCTTTTGAAAAACGATTGCGGTCCATGCGTAGACTAAGAAAAAAATTCGCAACGAAGACAATGAGAAAATTACTGAGGAAGTAATGATTGAAGAGGAATTTTGAATAAAAAAGGGTTCTTTTCCAAACTGATTTTAAAAATGTATTTTTTTAACGTCAAAAATTATAAACTTTGTTTTGAAATTTATAGGGGAAGTAAATAAATACTTGTGACATTCGTGAGTATTTTTATTTTTAGAATTTCGACCGAATGCTTTTGCTACAGAAAATTCCCAAACCTTCAAATTAACTTTTCTAACAACCAGCTTTCATGGACGTAAAACTTTTTTTCCTCTAGCTTTACATATGACGGAGGCATACTTAAGTTAGCAATTTATACTCAAATTAAACTGCAAACTGGAAGTCTACTTGCAGTATCTCTTAACAATTTGCATTTTCTCAAGCTTATTGAAAACATTGTGAATATTTCTTTAATTTGATATTTTGAAATGAAATAAATCTAATGAAATGAGCTTAAGTGTTTTGAATTAATTAAAAAATCTAGTAATTGACATATATTTTTAAAATAAGCTGCATTTAAGTAAAAAAGTATAAAATGATTTTGCTTGTAGTTGAAAATATATTTTTGTTCCTTTAAAACATCACTCATTGAACGTTATCGCCTTATGAAAAAGTTTTATTAGTACAAAGCATCACTGTTTTTTTTAAAAAAAGTACAATTTAAAATTATTGCTTTTGAATAAAAATAAATGGTAAGTATGCATTTCAGAAAATTTTTTCACCTCATTTAGAGGGTTTAAAATAATGATGATAAAGATGTTTTGGGCCTTTAAATAGTTAATGTGACAATTTGAAGCTTTGATCTACAAGCATTTATTTCAAACTGAAAAGAAAAATCATATATTTTTACATGCTAAAAAAATTATGCAATGGATATTTTCTAATCGAGGAAAAGACTAACAGTGTAATATATAATGTTGCAAAGATATAAACAATTCATGCATGAAGTATGAATGCACAAATTGTCAGAAATGTTTAGATAAGATATCAAAAATGCTTTGATGATTACTAAATGAAATAAAATAAAATATATTAGATTATTCCTAATGAATAAGCATGATAGGTGATTACATATTTCTTAATTAACTCAAATGGTTCGGTGGGAATACGTAAAATAAGTGAAATACGATTAGAAGTTCAAATTTTTATTCGCCTTTCAGACTGAATAACGCTTTCAGTTGTGGTTTACTTTCAAAAAGCATTTTTACCTTTGATGTAACAAAAATCTCTTACGCAAACTTATGTTGAAAAGTAAAAGAACAAAACATAAATTGTTAAAACTGATAATTTTTTGTTCGAATTTGTTCTGAATTAAAACTATTTCATGATCAAAACTTGTTTTACCATTTTGTCCAATCGAAATGAATTACTTTTATTATTAGCTGAGTTTCAAACAACTTCCCATTGCAACAACCATCGCATGAAGCTTCCCAATATACCCTTGGACGGTTGTACTCTCTTTTTTCCAGGGTAGTTACAATATCCGGCTACCGTCCGGCTGAGGTACTAGTTGATCATCGCGGGCACCGTGCAAATTTCTCGCTCTTTCACTACATTGATGACCACGAGCAACGAAAACACTCCTCCGCAGAGAACAACACTACACTAATTCTTGTCATCTGTAGTTCACTTTGACTTGATAAAATAAGTAGCCAAAGCTAAAAGTCAGTCGACTTCAGAAGGAATGGATTGTAGTAAATGCACACCGAAGAGCCATTACGTTATGACCACCTTGCTAATAACATGTAGGACCTCCTTTAGCCCTCAAAACTGCTAGCAACCGCCGAGTTATTGCTTCCACGAGGTGCTGATAGGTAGTCTGAGGTATCTGGTACCAAGAGCTCACCAACTGATCCTGAAATTCCCTCACATTGCGAGGAGGTAGCGTAGCAGCACGAATTTGGTTTTCCAAGTAAGACCACAAATGCTTTATTGGATTAAGGTCAGGTGAATTTGGGGGCCAAGACATGACTTGAAAGTCACTGGAATGTTCCTCGAACCAATCCATGACGAATCAACCCTTATGACAAGGAGCATTATCTTGTTGGTAAACACCATCCCTCGAAAGAAAAACTGTTGCCATGAATGGGTGAACCTGGTCTGCAATTATGTTCAAGTAGCTTACAGACTTCAGGGACTGTTCTATGAGGATTATGGGTCCTAATGTGCCCCATGAAAAAATTGTTCCTGGGCGAGAAACCATGAAAACCTGGGCGAGCCCATTGTTATAGATCGAGGGTGGTCATAATGTAATGGATCTTCGGTGTATATTTCACAAGTAAAAATTTACGGGCTGATCTTTATGGTCGTGATTACTTTACGGGTATAATTTCATTTTTACTGTCAGTGAAGGAAATTTTTGCTAGTCATTGATAGAAATCTAGCAACGAATATTGCTGGGATCGTAAAAATGAAAGCAATTTTGTGTCATTATTATGAAGAAAAATAGGATACCATGGAGAGGACACATGGAGATCATGGTGAGATTAAATACCCATACTTACAAACACTCTTCTTTGCACGCATTTACGCACTTCGGCACTTTATCGTTTTCATCATTGCACACGATACCCAACTTAGGAAGAACGCCTGGAAAAAAAATATATGCTTTTACCATGGAAATTTTAAAAATTAAACACGATTTGTCATAAAAAAATGTTTTACAGTGAAAGAGCTTGGTGAAGGATAACGGTAAGCAACATTTTAGTAAATTTATGTAAATTGAACTTACTGTAAAAAAGAGGTTTCTAAAATTAAGCAAAAATGTGCCAAAATAGCTCTGAAACAAATATTAATCGAATTTGAAAACCCCATGTATTCAAAATTGAAACCCCATATACTCATTTTTGAGCAAAATACCTGTGGAAGTAGAAATTTGTGAGAGATGTTCGTTGGTTGACGGTTGGATTCGAACCTAAAATCTTCGGGTTCGAAGTAGCACTATAGCAGTACACCACAGTCCATGATGCTTCATATAGCCGCCGCCGCAATGACATACTAATTTTCAATTTCATTGGTGCAAAGGGTTGCAATTTGGAAAATATCCCATAGCTTAGTTAGGAGATTCATTTCACTCTTTGCTTATTTCGCTATATTTTAAAAACTTTTAAAAGAATGGAATGTATGTCTTGGTGTATTATTTCAAACTATAACGGTTTTTCCTAACTCTCCCTGAACTGTGGTGTACAGCTCTGGTTATATTTTGTTTAATTTAAGATTTTAAATGGTTTATTTTTATTATTGAGGTTTAGTGTATTATTCTAGTTTTTATAAATTGTTTTTTACCTTCGGAACATACACTTTTAGCTTCTGAAGGATAAGTGAAAGCGACGAATGTGCAATTGAAGCACTGTGAAATGAAATCCACTACACATTTTTGAATGCACATCTGAAATAAAAAGAAAAATATTACGCAAAAGAAGTAGAAGATGTTTAATCGAATTAAAATTACTTTTTTTTATTAGTTCAAAAATTTTATAATAATTATTTTAATATTTTAGAGATGTAAATTAAATCAAATGACCCCAACTAAAAAGAATACTAAACAAGTATTCCTGTTATTATTTAAAATACCATCAAAAATATATTTTCTTTTTTAATTTTCTCTGGGTCTTAATTTTTTTAATTATAGCGTTTATAATCATGTAAGCATTTCTTTCAAGACCAGGTGGTCATTTTATTCCTTAAAATTAATTATGAATGGGATTCAAAATTTTTTTATCTTTTTCGCTTGCTCACTTCTTTCTATTTCTCCGATTTTAAATTACTAACTGACTCACCTGGCTATCTCTATTTTTTCATATTTCCATTGAGTTTTTTTTGCCTTTTTTTATTTCTATTTTTCCTCACTTAATTTTCTTTGCTTTCCTTTTTACTTTTCTTTAATAAAATTATAAACCTATTTGAAAAATAAAATAAAAACTCAATGTTTAAATATGATTCAAGAAATCATGTATGAAAATTTTTAAAGAAACATGAAGCTTTTGTCTATTTTTTAATATTGAGAAACTTGTTTTATGTTAGATGTTTTTCGCTGCTGTTTTTGATCCAGGTTTTTCCCGCAGTTCTAATACTACTTACAATTTAGTAATTGTAGTAAGTTTAAATGATATATTTTTGCGTGAGAATGTTGTTTGAATCAAAAGTTCTACGACCCCACATTTAATTTGTCACTATTACTAGAATAGAAAATTTTCTACAGTCATATGTCACCTCCTAATATCATAGCTTAAATATTATTTAAAAAAAATATATTCATAAAATTACATATATTTTCTTAATAGATATAATTTTAAATTAATCTTAAATGCATTTAGAAAAAAAAATTAAAATAAAATAACTGAAAAAATAATTTATACACTTTTTCAAGTGTTTTAATTTTTCTTAAAATTATGTTTCTAGCCAATACTGCACCCTATGTAGCAAAAAATATATATATATATTATTTATATAATTGTAGTTTCAATTTTCGTGAAAGCAGAGCAACTTAAGCATTAAAAATTAGCATATGTTTCCGGCTGCCAGTCTAGCCCTTATCTTTGAGTCTAGCCTTTACCTTTGGGTTTTTCAGTGATAATTGAGCCAAGATATTTGAATTCTATCACCCTTTCAAAACCAAGTTCAGTATTTACTACATTCGTGGTTGGTCCGTTTTCTCTGTCCATAACAACGTAGTCTTTTTCCTGTTAACCAAAAGTCCCATAGTTTTTGCCTCCTTTTCTAAATCTATATATGTTTTTGTTAAATATTTTTCTGTTCTAGACAATTAGTCCACATCATCTTCGAGTGCAAAAATTATTAATAATCGGTGGTTTATGATTGTTCCAACTCGGCTGGAATAAATCTTTCTAATAATGTGCTCGAAACAAAAGTTTTGTAGACAGTATATCTCCCTGTCTTAATCCTATATCGATTTTTAAGCTTCTTGAGCATTTCCCTAAAAAATCCTTTTCCCTTTTTTATGAAAAATCCCAGTTTTCGCTTTTATAAACTAGTATTGCCAAAATTTGAAAATTGTAAATTATCAAAGGCATGTAAAATTTTTCTCACGCTTCAAAGACTAACATGATAGAAAATAATTCGATACATTTATTTAGACCTCTAATGTTGTTTCTTTTCTTCTTTTTGTCAAATCAGAATTAGCTCTGTTCATCTTGTTATAATAAATTCGATGCAAATGTGTAAATTTAGTATATAGCAAAGTGCCAATAATTACCTCTTGTGAACGAGGACCAGTTCTTCTATTCTCCTTCCATAGCTCAACATAATCCATACAATCCGTTTTATAAGGTGCACGTAGTAGTTTTTCTTCCTTCTGTTACAAATCGACAATTTAAAATGAAATTTAGTTTTACAATATTAAAGTGCGGGAAAACGTTAGTAAAGTGAGCTATGGTACAAAAAAGAATTTTTATGCAAAGAGAAAATTTTTTTAATAAAAAATTTAAGAATTTGTTAACATATTCCAGTCGCTTCGAAATTTTGGTCTTGGATTAAAATATGTAACCGACTTGCCATTGTTTCTCATGCGTAATTTTTTATCTAAAAAGGGGAAATATGCTAATTTATTTTATATATGAATTATCATAAAATAAATATATGAATTGTATAAATTATTACGAATTTCTAACCATTTAAACTCGAGGCAAATCAGCCGCCATGGTAGATTAACTGTCGGTGAGATAAAAAGTAGTGCCTTTAGTTTTAACTTCTTTCATTAGGTTTTCTACGCTCATGAAAAATATTAAGAGTCAATTTCACAAAGCTTTTGAAAATTTTAAAATACCAAAAAAATTGTTAAAACTTCTAGTTTATTTCTTGTTCGTAAATTTTCTATTTGCGAAAAACACATTTCCTTTAACTTTCGATTGCTTCTATTTTTTTTTTTTACAAAGTCTTACATTTTGCCAGATTTCAAAAGTTATTGTTGTGTAATAAGTTAATTTTATGCATTTTTGTCCATTTTTGTAGAATAGAATTGTTTATTAAGAGTGAGAGACAATAAACACTTAGTCAAAAATATAACAACATCTTATTTATCAGTTATATTATGCATATTATATCAGTTCAATTATATTACAGTTTTTTAAAATTCGTATTTTCAATGACTCTTATTTATACGAACGGTTCTATTTTACAGATAAAATTCCAATTTATTTTCGTTTATCCATTTTATTTCCACGTTTTATTATAAGCTTTTGATCTCGTAGCAACAAGTACTTAATAAATAGTGCCATTTTCCAACAATAAAAATCAACCTGCACTTCGGAATTGGATGTTGATTGTGGGCTACGTGAAAGAGTTTGATAGTTTCGACGGAAAGTTTTATTTCCTGCGTGAATTGAAAAATTTTCGAGTTCACAATTTTAGAAGTTTTTTGTTTGTTTTATAAGTTTTAATTTTTTTTTTAGTTCAATCAAACGCAATTAGGTAGACAATTCATTCTGGTAGTACAGAAATACAACACGTGAAAAATAGAATACATACCATTTTAATTGTTATTTTATACTGCATACCAGGACTAAGGAAATGTCCGTTCTGAAAAGGATTTACTGCATCGTACGGTGTGTGAACAGAGAAATATATTCCTGGGGGAACATTAGGATCGAACATATCAGCTTCATGGGAATTAAGAAAAAGCCGTTCAGACCCTACAAAGGCTAGAAAAAAATTATTATAGTCTAAAAAATTGAATCTAAGATACCTGAGTTTAAAAGTATTATAATCTACACTGTTAGAATTTTTCTTAGAAAAATGGTTCATAGAGTACACTAAAATAACAATTTATTTGATTGTTATTTTAATGTACTCCAACATAACAGTCAAATAACAATACATAAGAATGTTTTCTAACTATTAACTGTGAGAAAAATCGTTTATTAACTTCGTTAACTTAATACGGTAAAACAAGCAAAATTGTGTCGCACCAACTAGGTCGGCCTATTGAACCCACTTAGATCTTCACAATTGGGTACATATTATAGGTGAGAGGACTTATCTGTCAGTTTCATGACCGACTAAAAGGGAGATTCGAGTCGCATTTTTGACATCACCATATTTCCTCCGTTCCCTTCTACACATGGCGAGTTTGCAGTTTCCTGCACCCTCTAATTCGTGACCACGGACTATTAGAATAAATTACTGTCATTCACGCATAGATATCAGCACTGGAAAGTTGCTTAAGACAAAAAGTCTAGTATTTTCAAGCAAACTGTAAATGGTTAAAAAACGTGTAGTATTGCATTCATGGTTTTTCCCAAGTTGTATAATAATACTAGTTGTAATATAATATACTAGTTGTAAATGGTTTCAAAACAGTAAAGGTGAAAAATGGTCTTGACTTTTAATTGGATGGACAGACTGCTTCTAGTTATTTTACCATAATTTTAGAATGAAAAATTTCCTAGTGCAATACTGGGTTCATTTAATAACATAAATACTTATAACATAATATACAAGTAGAAAACCATTTTAAAACCGTAAAGGTAAAAAAAAATTCTTTACTGTTAATTGAGTAGACAGACTGCTGTCGGATAATTTACTGTAATTTTAGAATGAAAATTTTAACATTCCAACTCTGGGTTTATTTATAAACATAATTACTTTCATTTAAAAAATTTAAATTGCATATAAGTAAAAAAAATCATGTTATGTCAAATGTCAAGTCTGTAAGAAAAATCAAATCCGTGTCCATAAAGGCGATTTAATAATTCGATAACGTCAAAAAAGAAACAAAAAAGGATTAAGGTAAAGAAAGGTTAGTAAAATATGATTTAAATTGTTAAATAAATCTTAGGGGAAGAAATAAATTTGCCACATTTGCAAACTTGTGAATAGTTCTCCAAAGTAGATATTTTTAGATTTTAAAATAATGTGAAAGCTCCTTAGTTCATTTATTTTTTAAAATTTGTTCTGCATCCAGAAATCAAAGATAACTTCAAAACAATCATGAGTATTGATGATTGGTAATGAAATGCGGGTATTATTAAAAAAAAATATCACATAAGTTGGGGTAAAGTTTATATATACCACTAGTTTGTAACTTGGTTATAATTCAAAATAATATTTCTTATTTAATGAATAACATATTTTTGAAGATAACTCTCTTTTTTTCTTGGTAAAATAGTAAGTATACCATACTTAATTTGAAGGAAACTATACAATTTTTTTGAAACAGGAGAGAAATTTAAATAAGTAAAATATTTTAATAAAACCCAATTCATTTGCAAACATAAACGTCAGCTTAAATTTTAACAATGCAAGTCCCATTACTTTTCTTTTTTATTATTAGACATATCTCTGTCAATCGCATTTAGCATTAATTTTTTTCTATGAAATATTAAACGTACTTACTTCGAGTAAAATAATTTTTCCTCTCATCCATTGGAGGATCGTCTTGAGAATTTACAACTAATTCCGTTGTTACACATAATGAAAAATCATTGACATAATCATCACGAAAATACGAAAAGCTCCTTTGTCTTAGCACTGGCTCCTCTGAAAACGAAACTCTTCTTCTGAAAATAATTAAATATTTATACAGGTAAGACGATACCGATTAAGCATTATGTGTTATGTATATATATATATATCTTTAGTTTTAACTTCTTTCATTAGGTTTTCTACGCTCATGAAAAATATTAAGAGTCAATTTCACAAAGCTTTTGAAAATTTTAAAATACCAAAAAAATTGTTAAAACTTCTAGTTTATTTCTTGTTCGTAAATTTTCTATTTGCGAAAAACACATTTCCTTTAACTTTCGATTGCTTCTATTTTTTTTTTTTACAAAGTCTTACATTTTGCCAGATTTCAAAAGTTATTGTTGTGTAATAAGTTAATTTTATGCATTTTTGTCCATTTTTGTAGAATAGAATTGTTTATTAAGAGTGAGAGACAATAAACACTTAGTCAAAAATATAACAACATCTTATTTATCAGTTATATTATGCATATTATATCAGTTCAATTATATTACAGTTTTTTAAAATTCGTATTTTCAATGACTCTTATTTATACGAACGGTTCTATTTTACAGATAAAATTCCAATTTATTTTCGTTTATCCATTTTATTTCCACGTTTTATTATAAGCTTTTGATCTCGTAGCAACAAGTACTTAATAAATAGTGCCATTTTCCAACAATAAAAATCAACCTGCACTTCGGAATTGGATGTTGATTGTGGGCTACGTGAAAGAGTTTGATAGTTTCGACGGAAAGTTTTATTTCCTGCGTGAATTGAAAAATTTTCGAGTTCACAATTTTAGAAGTTTTTTGTTTGTTTTATAAGTTTTAATTTTTTTTTTAGTTCAATCAAACGCAATTAGGTAGACAATTCATTCTGGTAGTACAGAAATACAACACGTGAAAAATAGAATACATACCATTTTAATTGTTATTTTATACTGCATACCAGGACTAAGGAAATGTCCGTTCTGAAAAGGATTTACTGCATCGTACGGTGTGTGAACAGAGAAATATATTCCTGGGGGAACATTAGGATCGAACATATCAGCTTCATGGGAATTAAGAAAAAGCCGTTCAGACCCTACAAAGGCTAGAAAAAAATTATTATAGTCTAAAAAATTGAATCTAAGATACCTGAGTTTAAAAGTATTATAATCTACACTGTTAGAATTTTTCTTAGAAAAATGGTTCATAGAGTACACTAAAATAACAATTTATTTGATTGTTATTTTAATGTACTCCAACATAACAGTCAAATAACAATACATAAGAATGTTTTCTAACTATTAACTGTGAGAAAAATCGTTTATTAACTTCGTTAACTTAATACGGTAAAACAAGCAAAATTGTGTCGCACCAACTAGGTCGGCCTATTGAACCCACTTAGATCTTCACAATTGGGTACATATTATAGGTGAGAGGACTTATCTGTCAGTTTCATGACCGACTAAAAGGGAGATTCGAGTCGCATTTTTGACATCACCATATTTCCTCCGTTCCCTTCTACACATGGCGAGTTTGCAGTTTCCTGCACCCTCTAATTCGTGACCACGGACTATTAGAATAAATTACTGTCATTCACGCATAGATATCAGCACTGGAAAGTTGCTTAAGACAAAAAGTCTAGTATTTTCAAGCAAACTGTAAATGGTTAAAAAACGTGTAGTATTGCATTCATGGTTTTTCCCAAGTTGTATAATAATACTAGTTGTAATATAATATACTAGTTGTAAATGGTTTCAAAACAGTAAAGGTGAAAAATGGTCTTGACTTTTAATTGGATGGACAGACTGCTTCTAGTTATTTTACCATAATTTTAGAATGAAAAATTTCCTAGTGCAATACTGGGTTCATTTAATAACATAAATACTTATAACATAATATACAAGTAGAAAACCATTTTAAAACCGTAAAGGTAAAAAAAAATTCTTTACTGTTAATTGAGTAGACAGACTGCTGTCGGATAATTTACTGTAATTTTAGAATGAAAATTTTAACATTCCAACTCTGGGTTTATTTATAAACATAATTACTTTCATTTAAAAAATTTAAATTGCATATAAGTAAAAAAAATCATGTTATGTCAAATGTCAAGTCTGTAAGAAAAATCAAATCCGTGTCCATAAAGGCGATTTAATAATTCGATAACGTCAAAAAAGAAACAAAAAAGGATTAAGGTAAAGAAAGGTTAGTAAAATATGATTTAAATTGTTAAATAAATCTTAGGGGAAGAAATAAATTTGCCACATTTGCAAACTTGTGAATAGTTCTCCAAAGTAGATATTTTTAGATTTTAAAATAATGTGAAAGCTCCTTAGTTCATTTATTTTTTAAAATTTGTTCTGCATCCAGAAATCAAAGATAACTTCAAAACAATCATGAGTATTGATGATTGGTAATGAAATGCGGGTATTATTAAAAAAAAATATCACATAAGTTGGGGTAAAGTTTATATATACCACTAGTTTGTAACTTGGTTATAATTCAAAATAATATTTCTTATTTAATGAATAACATATTTTTGAAGATAACTCTCTTTTTTTCTTGGTAAAATAGTAAGTATACCATACTTAATTTGAAGGAAACTATACAATTTTTTTGAAACAGGAGAGAAATTTAAATAAGTAAAATATTTTAATAAAACCCAATTCATTTGCAAACATAAACGTCAGCTTAAATTTTAACAATGCAAGTCCCATTACTTTTCTTTTTTATTATTAGACATATCTCTGTCAATCGCATTTAGCATTAATTTTTTTCTATGAAATATTAAACGTACTTACTTCGAGTAAAATAATTTTTCCTCTCATCCATTGGAGGATCGTCTTGAGAATTTACAACTAATTCCGTTGTTACACATAATGAAAAATCATTGACATAATCATCACGAAAATACGAAAAGCTCCTTTGTCTTAGCACTGGCTCCTCTGAAAACGAAACTCTTCTTCTGAAAATAATTAAATATTTATACAGGTAAGACGATACCGATTAAGCATTATGTGTTATGTATATATATATATATA